AGATGTCCTAGGATGAGAACAATAGAATTTTCCTAGTCTTTCCATAAGAGTAACAATGAAATACACAACAAAGCTTTCCAACACAAACAAACAAAATAGAAAGTCTAAATAAAGGCCCCCAAACCTTTGGTTTAAGGATAACATTTTTAGTGGGCATGATGGTACATGCCTACAACCCCAGCACTCAGGAGCCTGAGGCAAGTAGACTGTGGTGAGTATGAGCCAGTCATGGCTTATAGCAAGGCCCTGTTTAAAAAAAAAATAGGAGGAAGAAGAGAACAAGGAAGAGGAGGAGGAGGAAGAATTCTTTCCAGAACAGGCTTGCTTTACTGTTAAGGGGCAAAGTATTAATTTTCTGTATTTGCCCTTTGAGTCACTGACAGGTAAGGTAGGCCAATGGTTAAACAACAAGACATTCTGTATTTGCCTGGAACCTTAATCAGGAGACTCACTAGTTGGGGTAGCACCACTGCCATTAAAAGCAGTGTTACAAATTTCTGTGTAGAATCCAAGGTTTCTGAGGTTGATATTAAATAATGTAACAAGTTCCCTCAGGTTCTGAATGTGAATATAAAGTAAGGAGGTTTCTATCTCTTCTCTGGAGAATAGATCAGGTTGGAGCATTGCTGTGGAAGGTGTCGGTCAGAAGGCTACATTCACCTGTCACTTTAAAATAGCGATTTATAGGGGCTGGAGAGATGGCTCAGTGGTTAAGAATGCTGACTGTTCTTGCAGAAGACCCAGGTTTGAATCCAAGCACCCACATGGTAGCTAACAACTGTCTATAACTCCAGTTCCAGGGGATCCAACAGCCTCTTCTGTCTTCCACAGACATTGTACCACAAGGGTACACTTATGTACACAGAGGCAATACACGCATACACATAAAAATTTTTTTAAAAATAGAAAAAATTAGCAATTTACAAATTCTGGATGCACTTTACAGTCCTTGAAATATTTAAATCTTTCCCAGGTTAGGCCTGGCCTTGTGGCACAGACCTGTAATCCCAGCACTGAGGGAGGAGAAACACGGCAAATTGTGAGCTAGCCTGGTCTAGTCAGTAAGTTCCAGGCAGTTAGAGCTATATAAGGCGTCCCTATCTTAAAAAAAAAAAAAAAAAAATCACCAAAGTTGAGGCTTAAACAGATTTCTCCAGATCCATTCTGGAGCCCCTTCCCCATGATCAACCTCAGGAACTGAAGCAGGCGAGAGGCCACCAGCCTTCAGAGGCAAACCCAGTCCTCTTCTTCCCGGTCTCCTGCTCTGCTCCACGCTTATCTTGGTCTGTGGTGACTGGGGGTGAAGAAGGTAATCTTTGGGCATAGCTGGGATTTTCCTACCCCTGATTAGACACAAGAGGGAAGGTTGTTTCCCAAGATGTGTCGGCTCCTTAAGATGAGTTGAGTCTAGTTCCTTTGGGGCCTTTCTACCCTGACATCGTTCTCTGGAATCAGTTTAATACATTCACCACATCTCAGATTGACCTCAGAAATACAAAATGGTGAAATACAGAATTTCTGTTTTCCTCCACAAAACACACTGAATGTCATCGTAGTGAAAAGCTACATAAATACATTTCCTGCTGAGAAAGAAAAGTGAATTCTCTGTCACTATTTTTTGAAAAGAAAGACGTCTTTCTGTTCACTGAGTGGTCACCCAGCGCTGGCTCCGACACATGAGTCTTTGTGGTGGTAACTGGATACTTCCAGTCAGGCCTGTAAGTCTAGTCTGGCGTTAGTTTTCCAATGGAAACTAAAAAACCAACTCCTTTTGTTTTGTGCTGTCTTGTGAGGTTGGTTTTGTTTTTGTTGCAGATTATTTTGTTTAGTGACAAACGTCTCATGAGCCAGAAGTCGCAAGTGGCTGTTTACAGCTGTTTTTATGAAAATCAAGTCAGTGATCAGAAACAGAAGTGCAACTGGTAACATGTACCAGAGGCTCTCACCTCTCCAATGTGCTATTTTAACTTAATTTGCATTCTCACCTTTATAACATTTTGCAAATTAGCTCCTCACATTTCCTATTCAAAAAAAAGAAAGGAAAAATACATACATGCTCCCAAATCTCATTGTAGAACATTCTGGAATCAATTTAGTAAACTTTTTGGTTCAGTTGTCCTTCAGTATCCCTGAGGGATTCCTTAAAGGACCTCCAGAGGATACCCTAATCCTCAGATGCCTCATATAAAATGGATTTTTACATATGATTCTCTGGTATACTACAAATCATGTCTGGATTATTTATATATGTAATACAATGCGAGTGCCATATGCCTAACTGTTGTGTTGTTTAGAGAATGAAGGCCAGGGGAAAGTCTGCACATGTTCAGCACAGACACATTTCTTGGATGTTTTCCACCCACAGGTTGGTAGAATCTGAAGACATGGACCCCACCGATGTGGATGACTGTGGATTATTTTCTCTTATGCCCCCACTTTACCAAGTCTAGGCAAACGGTTAGCTACTAGAAAGGCATTGCAATATTCTGAGAGGTGATGCCCTACTGAAGATAAGATGGAATTCTGGGATACTGAGAGGGCAGGAGCTAAACTCTTATCACCAACCAAGTCAGTTACAGTGGAACCAAGGAGAGAGGCAGGTGAACCAATACTCATTTAGTCATCCAATGAAACTTAATCTCATCATAAAGGAAGTTAGAAACGGTCTCAGTGCCAAATTACTTTTCCTTCTCATTCTTCTCTGTCTCCAGGGGCAGCCTCTCCCCAGCAGCCCCAAAGGGAAGCCAGCGGCACAGCCAGTCAAAGGGGCTGGTCCAGGGTGGTGTATAAGATGGGGCATGAGATGCTCCTGGCAACCACAGACTACTGTCTGATTCCCAGCTGGTCTTCTCCCCTGGGCCAGCCTGGGCACATGTGGATGGGAACATGTGGCAGGCTGTTACTAGGTGGTGCCAGTCTGAAAAAGTCAGGACTCAGGCACACCACGAGTGGGTGCCCAACACTGCCTTTCTGGGTACTGTGCTCTCGAGAGGACAAAAGCTGGGCCTAACTGCAGCAGAAGGGCAAGACTGATGAGGCGTGATTTCTTCACAGTAGAGGGCCGAAGTTTGGAGTTTGAAATGAAGCTTTAACTCTGACTCAGATTTCTAAGACTGGAAATGATAAAGAGATTCAGTCTCTCTGAGCCTGGGCAGAAATAGACACTGGAAGAGTTTAAGAACATCAACATGGATTCAAAAGACTGACCAATGACAGACCTCAAGTCCACCTCTTAGCATCACACAGCAGGGACGGACCCTCCTTCTTCAAAACACACACTTGTCGAAGGGTGCCACATGTCATTTTGGCTTCAGAATTGGTACCCGACTCCCAAGTCTGCAAACTTAACTCAGGCAGTTTTATACTAGTCCAATGATGATAAATGGATTGCACCATGGTGTTAGATATAACTCACAATAAGAAACATGCCAACATCTCAATGTTAGTAGCAAAAACAATGAGCCTTTCTACAAGGAATAATATATTCTGAAATGAAATGGAGATCTTTTTTAAAGGTTAAAAACTCATTCAATTTTATGTCTTACAGGGCTTATACTGAGTTCAATATTGTATAACTGTATTAGTTCAACTGTGAACCTAAAAACTTGCAGCCACTTGCGAAAGAGATGTACTCTTGCTCTGGAGGTTGTTACTGAATATGTTAAAGCTGTAGTGAAATGCTTCTTCTAATCATGTAGCTATTAAACATTTTTTAAAAATGATTAAAAATAATTCTTCAAAGCATTAAAAAAAAGAAGCTCTTGCACATTTACTTTCAGACATGTCTAGGTTGCAGCCCAGAATTGCCATGAACATGGCCCAACACAAAATCAAAAATTTATTTAAAACCTTAAAGATTTTTGCTGTTGCTTTTGTTACTCATTCCCACGGCTCTTGGGCATGAATTTTGTAGACAATGTCATATTACACTATCAAAAGGTTGGACATATCTGAGTCTACCCTCATCCTTTACAAAGCACTTTCTGAGACCCCAAATTCCCAAGAAGAGAATATAACCTTGAGCCTGTTTTAAAATTGCAGTGCACCTGAATCGCGCATTTTGTGGGATTTTCCCATGTTGTGCTTCATGGGAAATACAATCTGTGATGCAGTTTCTTCGTCAGAATTCACCGACCATGACTTTCTACTTGGTGCCCAATAACTTTACATGCACTGTCTCATATATAAAGAAGGGTAGGCCATCTGTTAACAAGGCTAGAGCAGCAATGCCCCTAAGTTCTCATGCACTCATGAAAAATGAGAAACTTACATGTGTAATTTTCACAGTGATATAAACATACGGCTACTAAGAAGCATCTAGAAAGCTGCACATGTTAGCTCAGGGGATTATCCAAAGTAACTGAATTATTGCCTCTGCAAAGCACTGTGTGGATGCAGCTAAGTTCAAGTTGCTGACTGTCATAAGCCTGAAGTGAAAACAGATGAGCACACCCACTGCATCCAGTAAGCAAACAAGTTTATGTTCCTCTAGCTAATACAGGCACTTGCTACCAGGCTACATTGCCATCCCATGACTGACCTTCCTTAAAGATTTTCCTCAGGGTTCTCTGGTTCTTTGAAAGCTACTTTGCATGATGCTGGAGGCTTCACACAGCATGGAGGCTGAGACTACTACTCTAAAAGTCAAGATTAAAAAATTTTTTTATGTGTATTCTTGTATTGCCTGCATATAGGTAAGTGTACCTGTGTATGCAATGCCCATGGAAGACAGAAGAGGCCATTAGATCACCTGGAACTGGAGTTAGAGACAGTTGTTAGCTACCATGTGGGTGTTGGGAATCGAACCCAGGTCTTCTGCAAGAACAGCCAGTGATCTTAACCACTGAGTTATCTCTCCAGCCCCCAAAAGTCAAGATTTTTACAGCAGCAGACTTCTTATCAAATAGCCAAAGCAACACACAGTAGGGTGTTTCACAGAAAACCACCCTCTCCAGCTCTTCCCCTTGGGCAGTCAAGAAGTACACCAGGACCTAGCCTACCTTAGTGACAGACAGCTCCTTAGACTTAGACTCAAATAGGTGCTCCAGCCTGGAAGTGTCCACCTTAATGGGTTCCAGTTTTGACCACAGGAATTCCCTGCAGCGACGACTGTTCTTTCCCGGCCACTCAAAGGGCCGGACTTCATTCCAGAACAGTCGGATAGTCTTCTTTTTCTTGGTGAATGCTGGCTGACCCCTGGGTACCTGGGACCACCCTAAGCCCTGAGGAGCACTGAACACAGGAGGAGGAGCCAATAAATTACCAGGGGCTGGAGGAGGAGGCACACTGTCCAACAGGGGTGGAGGGGGTGGTGGTGGCAAACCTAGGAGGGTGGGAGGGGGTGGAGGAGGTGGTCCTGGGGCTTCCCGGTGGCCAAGATCCACATCCAGAACATCGATGTCATCCTCTTCCCCCAGGTCAGTGAAATCCATGTCTTGGATTCTGAGCTCTCTGGGGTTGGCCATGAGCTGGTCCCAGATATAATCCGACTCAGTCTTCAGTTGCGCAGGTACCGAGTCTGGGACCTTATCATGGGACTCTGCATCAGGAGTGATGGACCCTCTCCCTAGGTCCCCGCTGTTGAATTTCTCGGCAAATGCTTTCACACTGCCCCGGTTGTCCAAACAGCCAATGTCCACCCTCCTGATGTTCTCCTCTGGGCCCTGAGAGTTGGCCTGCAGAGTGGAGATCCTGGTGGCGAGACTGGCCACAGCCTCCACCTCCTGCTCAGACGTTCCAGGCTCATCCTCGCCCTTCTCCTCCTCATCTGTGGATTTTCTGTTATGGGCATACAGCATGTCCAGCATGAACCTTTTGCTGGTGAGGATGTCACCACACCGTCCATTTACACCCGCATCCTGAAGGCCAGTGGACCACAAACCTAAAAGGACACAGGAGGGGATAGATAAGAAAGAGGCAATGGAAGGGCCTCCATTCTACAAGCAAACCAGTTAAGCAAGAAAAAGGATGGATACACAGGAGTGACGTGACGCCCGAGATAACAGAGTAAAGCAATCACAGCAGATGGTCAGAGCTGATGACCTGCTGTCGGACAAGGACTCTTCCAGATGACCGTGCTCGTGGCTCCTCCCTGCACTAAACCACACTGACACAGGTAGCTAGGGTGCCTCTGTCCTCACTAGACAAAGGTAGGCAGGAAGAGGCTCTCTGGTTGGGATGGGTGTTGGAGTTGCTATAAGGATACCCATCTCTCCCCAACTCCGACTCTGTACCACACAAATCACACCATTTGTTCAAGGTCATGGTCTCTCCTTTCCAAGAGGCTTATTGCCTGGCAGTCTCTTCCCCTCTTTCTTAGATGACGCCCCCCCCCCCTAGGCCTAACTCTGTCCTCTAACTTGCTTGAGCATCTCATCCTTGGGATGACTTTGCTTCTTCAGTTTAACAGTGTAACAAGTGAGGTCAGAAGAGATCTTTCATTTAATAACCAGCTTCCTGCATGTGTTTCAGTTCTGGCCTGCTTTCTGTTACTATCCACAACCATCCCCTAGTAGGACTGACCACTAGACTTGAACATTAGCAAACCACTCCAGCCACTGACCTGCTTCTCCTAAGCTCCTCACTAGGTCCTTCCTGCCCCACCCACTAGGTTCCTTCCTCCCCCGCCACTAGATCCTTCCTGCCCCTCCCTCTAGATCCCTTCCTGCTCCTCCCACTAGGTCCTTCCTGCCCCTCCCACTAGATCCCTTCCTGCCCCTCCCACTAGGTCCTTCCCGCCCCCCACTAGGTCCTTCCTGCCCTCCACTAGGTCCTTCCCGCCCTCCACTAGGTCCTTCCTGACCCCCACTAGGTCCTTCCTGCCCCTCCCTCTAGATCCCTTCCTGCCCCTCCCACTAGGTCCTTCCCGCCCCCCACTAGGTCCTTCCTGCCCTCCACTAGGTCCTTCCGGACCCCCACTAGGTCCTTCCCGCCCCCCACTAGGTCCTTCCGGACCCCCACTAGGTCCTTCCCACCCTCCACTAGGTCCTTCTGGACCCCCACTAGGTCCTTCCCGCCCTCCACTAGGTCCTTCCGGACCCCCACTAGGTCCTTCCCGCCCTCCACTAGGTCCTTTCGGACCCCCACTAGGTCCTTCCCGCCCCCCACTAGGTCCTTCCTGCCCTCCACTAGGTCCTTCCCGGCCCCCACTAGGTCCTTCCCGCCCTCCACTAGGTCCTTTCGGACCCCCACTAGGTCCTTCCCGCCCCCCACTAGGTCCTTCCTGCCCTCCACTAGGTCCTTCCGGACCCCCACTAGGTCCTTCCTGCCCTCCACTAGGTCCTTCCGGACCCCCACTAGGTCCTTCCAGACCCCCACTAGGTCCTTCCCACCCCCCACTAGGTCCTTCCGGACCCCCACTAGGTCCTTCCTGCCCCCACTAGGTCCTTCCGGACCCCCACTAGGTCCTTCCTGCCCCTCCAAGTGTTTCCATTGTGTTTTCCTCCATCTTCCTGTTTCCTGACTTTTCTTACATCTCTGCCTACTCAACCTTTCATCCTTTCCTCCGCTTCTCAGAGTTTCACTCACTGCCTCCCATTTCTCCCTTCAGCTTCTAGGATCCAGAGGAACGGAGCTCCTGCTTGCTCCATCCTTTGATAAAGTACCTCACGGCTGGGCCAGGACATGACATTAACCTGGTTTGCTTCCTGCTGTCTCCCTCTTCCATTTTCTTGGCTGCTTCCTCCTCACCTCTGGGCTTGAACTCCCCAGACCTCGTCTCTCCATCTATACCTTCTAGACCTTCCATTAACAGGTCTTCCAGTCCTGCTCTCCCAAAGCTGCTGCCCAAGTGCTTTGCTGGGCCAACTTTATCCAACCTGCCAGTTCCAGTCCTGACACCCATTTTTTGATGCTCCACATGCAATGCAGTAAGGCATCACGTTGACTAACTCCATGCCACATCCAGTACCCAGCCACGTTTCTCATCACCCTATCTTGCTCAGTCCCAGCTCATGTCAGCTCAGTTCTCCTCATCAACAGGGAGCGGCTGAGCAGGTAGCGGCTCTGCCCCAACAGACAACCTGTTTCTCCATTGTCTGGAGAATGTTGGCTTTTCTTATGGCAACAGGGAAAAGAACAGTTTCTGTAAGTTCCGGTCTTCTTGCCTGTTCTCTTCATTCATTCTGCAGAGTTTTAGTGTCTGTCTTCGCCTTAGGACTCTCCTTTGCACTGTGGTCTACTTTATATTAATGTAAGAATCCTACTTTTTATTATTTTCAGGGTTCAGCTTCGTAAGTTTTAACTTTCAATCTCCCATGTTAGTGTGTTTGAAAAGAATTTTGCATAGGCAGTGTACAATTGGTGCGTTTTTAAAATCCACTCTGTCAATCTGTCTTTTAATGTAAAGTAACAATTGAAATTTTAGGGCTTAAGCCTGTCGTTTAATTTGCTTTCTTTTATTAGTTCCTTTTGTTTCTCTTCCTTTGGTCTCCTGAGAGCTAGTTGAACATGTTCTTTAGGAACGCACCCTGACTTTTTAAAACTCTAGTGTTTAAAGCATATGACTTCATACAGTTTTCTTGGTGGTTGCTCCAGGGATTGAAATGAACACATCCAATAGTCCCAGTCTACTAGTACTTACTTAACACTTTGAATGGAGTATAGAAACACTACTTTCATTTAGTTCCTTTTACCTTCTGCGCTTTTAAAATTATCTGAAGCATTTCCTCTACAGAGAACACTGTGTCAAATGGCATTGTAACTTCTGTTTCAATTTTCAAGCATGTTCTCAGAAGCTTCTGGGTAGACTATGTTCTAAGTATACAGCCCCGGAGTGAGGATTCACAGTGAGGAAAACAGACATCCCCACTCCTCAAAAAGCTGATCTTCAAGCATCCTCTAGCAAAGTGTAATAAATACTATGTGAATCTTCTCACACTGCTTCCTCAGAGAACAACAAAACAAAAACCCCTAAATCTATCGAATGAGCTAGATCTCTTTCAAGCCCTACAAATTCACTTTTTGGTAATAGACACAATCATAATAGAAACAGGATTGGAAATAATTACAATTGTCTTTGTGACAGCAAAGCCATTTTGATGGAGTTGCCCTGATTCAGGGGCTGAAGGTGCCAGTCTGTGAACAGCGTGGGTTTTTAGGGACCAACAAGCTACTGCAAACAAACCCGACTAACTCTTCACAGCTCTGGAGTGAAGCACAAAGGTCCCCAGAAATCTCAGTTTTGGGTCTATCCACTTGAATGCCTCTGGCTCGTGGTAGGAAATCAATGGATCATCCCTGGAAATTCAGAGGTTCCATTTTTGGAAAGTTGTCCTTTTGGGGAAGAATATTGTACACTCTGTTCCAAAATGTTCTATTCCCTGTTTTAGTCTCACCAGTCCAACTTGCTGATATGTTTTGGGCTGCTACACTCGATACAATGAACAACTCACAGTGGTATTCAAAATGCACAGAGCCTCATTTAGGACCAAAGTGATCAAGAACTTACCTTGTACCCTGGTACCATGACCATAATTCTATTAAATATGAATAGAACAATTAGAATTTGATAATATTAAATAATGCATCTTAGGGCATCGATAAACAAAGACACAAGATTTTCAGTGCAATAACTTAAAAATGTAAACTCATAGCCTTTGGTCCTTTTTGTTGCACTACAGTGACAGAATATAAAATCAAATACAACAGCATATTCTAACTGTGGAAAACTTAAGCA